TAACCGGTACTCGTGGGTGTACCGGAAGTGATTTCAGGTGGTGCAAGCCACCAGAGACCTCTTTGCATACGCGAAAGATTTCCCAAGGACTCTGGTTTGGTCTTGTCCCAGATCTGCTGCATATGTTCCGTATTGATTTGAGTTGTGACTTATTGTATCCTATTGTACTATATTTATGCGTGTTTCGTGTATCCATTGGCAAAAAAGCAGAATCGACAGTGGATATTCCGAAGTGTTAAACCTAGAAATGATCAGGTGAACACCGTTGCTAAAACTGGCTAGCCATATATGCGTGCCTAGGATATGTATCCTAAGTGGTATGTACCTCCAGAGTCCCTTTAAACGCACCATGGGACTCAACGGTTGTATTACGAGGTGGTCTGTAGGCAGTCGTATCAACCTTGGTTACGAGAGGAGTTAAAGCCGTAAGATATATCCTTCAGGCGACCGGCATCTTAATTATCATGAAAACAGGGGACCGACTGGACGTCACCGGGAAGACGAGTCATAAAATGCCGGCCTTAGAGACCGCGAACTCCGGACGCGGACGTCGGAAAATAACCCGTACAGCCAAAATTTAATTCGAATTTACTCAGAATTCGGAGCGGCTCAAAAACACCTGCGGTGCACAGTTACACTTGTGTCTGATTCCCCGCACCATCGAACTAGACCAATCCCCCTCAGTCAAGCAGTTCAGACCGTAGAATATTCGGAAGCAGGTGTCTCCTGCAGCTCACATACCCTTGTTGTCGATGCACTTCGTGTCCCCGAAACATGCATACAACACTACGGTAGGGCCATGCGCCCTCAACCACTTAGGATGTTCTACATTACACTCTTAGGGTATCTGGTGATTCTGACGAAATGACCCAGCCCTTGAAATCGAGACGCCTCATTGCAATAAACGAGCGTCTTTGCTCGACATGGTTGTATTGTTCGATTACAACGCATGAAATTTGGTGCGGCGTCAGAGTACGTCCCGGTAGACTACAACTAAACTTGAGACAAAGAGATTTCCCTGGGAACTGTCACAATCGCACAGGTTAGCGAAACTGACCGACTGTGATTGATAGAAATGAATATCATTTTGAGTGAAGGGTTGGACACTTGTAGACAATCCAGCTTGCATTCCAAAACACAGTCATCGGAAGAACCCAATAAACCTGAATGAGACTTTGACATCCGTACCCCATCAGCAACAGAAATCCAAAACGGGATATTGTTCCTTCAACCCAACAAAGCACCACGCACATCGAACGCGCCAAAAAAGCAGATTCCCTTGTGGTGATTCATTTCATACCTTCTATTTTTTGTTTGTTATATATGTCCCAGAAATCAACCAAGTCGGTGGGATTAACCACTTAACTCTGTTAGTGACCCCCATGGAACTATTCATTCGTCGACATTCAGTGATATGGCTGCAGTATCCAGAGAAACGTTCGTGAATTTTTGTGCAACAGCTATCAAACAGGTTCACGAAGAATCCGGACAGGCGCACAAAGGTGGGCTCTCCACAGAAACAAAGTGGCCCCTATGATTCTTCAACGTGTTCTGTGCCATACTAGACAACAGCAGCATCATAGGCTGTAACAGACTACCCAGTAACCACAAGAGTTCCTGAGAAGGTTAATGACTTCTCTGGCGTCACCCAAGGTATAACAGAAAAAAAGCTAACGCCTCCAATCGACTTTGGGTACTTGCTTTACCGGTTTGAACAATACTTTCCACACACATCAGTATATGATTCCTGTGCGAAAAAAACCGATCCATCGGTATGGAGTAGATTTCACCGAGCGTACGCTTCAGCCACCCAATCCAGATATGGCAACCGGACCAGGCACGGGGCGGCATCCGTTGTGCAAACACCCACACCACTGTCAAAATGGACAAGACACTGTGGAGATAACCTGTTTATACAAAAGACCCGCTCGATCCCGATGACTGTACTAACTTTGTACGGGGTTGATTGCGCGATTGCGATTGCGCCTGCACTGGATAAACCAACAGACAGCTAACGGTTCGAGTCAACCAGCATAAAGGACAGTCACGGGTTGTTGGAAAAAACGCGGGCAAACTGGACAAACTGGTGCGTGACTAAGCTATCCCACTCCATCCATTAAATGAAAGCTATCGGTGCATATACCGCAGCAAAGTCTCAAAGTGTATGTACATGGGTTCTGTGCTGAACCGGCTGCTATTCGGAAGACATCGCGGGCGTTCACAGTCCTGATAGTACTGTCATTTGGTCCGGCGTAATCTGTCGTATAAAGGCGACCCAAGTATGACAGACCAAATGTGACATGAGGTGTTGAAAATGTACACAGTGTAACACAAAGAAGGCACGCATGACTTGTACGCCAAACACAGTACATACGGTAGTATGTCACCAGTCCTTGGCCAGTCATAGAGGTAATTTTGTTCCTTGATAAAGGCTACTCTCAGTGGTCGAAACATCGAACGATTTCACCCAATATATCCGCTGTGTAATCTCCTGCATTTTCACCGCAGCAAAGTCTTCTCCAAGGTAGATCTTTCTGATTTATACCTCCGGGTTGAGGTGGGAGACGGTTGTAGAGACTTGTTAACAATAATCACACAGTAATGGCTGTACAACCATGACAGATTTTTGTCTTCTACCAAATTCGCACTGCGCTCAACGGGTTCATTTCGAATCATGATTCCAATCTGCATGTTATTGTGGCTGATGACGATTCGATCAAGGCATTGGAGGTGTAATATTGAACCAATTTCCTGGAGGTCAGCGAAAGGCAGACAATCATGCATCGCGAACTCTGTCATCTGTCAAGAAAACTGGTCATTTTCGCGTTTAAAAAGTTCCACGAGATATTGCACGGGTGACAGTTCACACTGTGCACGGAAAACAATGGCTGTCATCATCTACTGCATAGAAGAGTATGCAGGTTCACATTGCTAAAGACTTCAACGCTGGACCCCATTACTCAACGGCTATGATTCAATATACCCACTTAAGTCTAGACGGAGAGGTTCGGCCACGCGGACGTCCATTGAAATCTGATTGCACATTAGTCCAATAACCAACCAGGTGAAGAGTGGTCATTTCTTTTATCATGTTGACGGTGATGTAAAACACGTGTTCGGGGAGTCTGTCGGGAATTTGTCTGTGATATCACCGTAACTCGACAAGTCAAGACTGTCCAATGGGAGGACTTAATGGCAACCAGTGACCTGTCTTCTACGCTGAAACAAGCGCACATAGTTTAGATGGGTTGGATAAAGGACGAAGGACACATCCTAACAAGAACAGACGACTTCAGGTTCAGGTTAAAACAAGATATGCTTACCGACAGTAGTTCGCTGGACGACGGCAAGTCGTCACAACCATTCGAGATGCTTTCCGCAACGCGGTCACTGTTCCCCGCAATACTATTTTCGTCTGCTGTAATAAAAGACCACGTCAGATACACGCTGTAATACAGGACGCACAGATGGCTAAAACCACAAACTATAAAACCCATGCCAACTTACGCGAATCCTGGGAGTTTACAGTGTCCTTGGATTTCACATCAACACCTTCGGATAACTCACCCAAAGGTGTTCGATGAGAGTGTATCACATCCGGGTGGTCTTCGAAGTCGCCACCTGAGCTGGGATGGCCTCGATTTGGGCCCTTTCTACGACTGGAATCCTCACGATCAAAGCTATCACCGCCGCCACCACCACAGCCATCTCCATGGTCCGAAAAATGACCAACCGATTCCCTGGACGCCAACTGAGGTGAGTCGATGAGAACAGGTAAAAGAGCCAGTGGGCTGGTGATGATAGATTGTGAGGGTCGTCCGACGGTAGAGGATTCCGGTGCAGAACCAGTTGTTGTGGAGGGCAAACGTGGTAATGGATCTGCCGGTACTGAAGATACGAACTCAGAGATTGTCGGCTTTTGCGTAGAGTGATGGGTTAGGCTAACACCTACGGGAGTAAGCGCAGGCCTTACACCTGGTGCGAATGACGTGGAGGGGTGCAGGTTATATCCGCCAGGGTTGTGAGCAGTTTGGTGGGCCTTGGTAGAATTGCTGTGAAGTTGGTCAGCACGGCTGTAGGATGATTCACTGGAAGATAAGGCTGCGATTGCTGCAGCGTAACCCAGAGCACGAATTTCCTTCCCCTAGGTGGATAAAAAAAGATAGAATCCTTACAGCTGGCTAGGATATCATAGGGTTTGTGATTAGGCATATACATGAAACAGTCGTCAGAAGCTTGGACTGTAGTTTTTCAGCCGTTATTGTTCATGCATCCTAGTAAGAGCAGAATCCAAATCGACTCAAGTGTAATATAACCACAGTGATTGCGCCAGGACAGCTTGGGACTGTAAAGCGAGTGGTAGAAATATACTCTTAGAATTGTTAGGATTACGAAGGGACGTACACATGTGTGACACTTTGTGGTGGTCTGCATAACGAGTCACATACATACACGCTATAAATAAGGCGCTCATACAAGTGGGTTAGCTGGAAGTTTAGTGCTTATGGTCACCTGCAAATCATTTATCCAACAGAAACAACCGAACTGACGGTCATCAGGCAGAATGAATATTGTCAACACTATGCATGAAACAATTAACTTCATGAATAAATATCTGGGACAGCGCTGTCTGGGCAAACCACTGACCATAGGTTGAAGTGTTCTTTTAAAAAAGGAACTTTGAAACAAAAGTTACAAACCTTTTCTTAGTCAATTAAGATAGAAAAGAGGCTTCATAAAGGAAACTACTCACAAGGTTGCTGAAAACTCTTCGACAGCCCACAACCGGTTTCGCCCTTCTTGGGGCTCATCAAGTAAACACAGTCCCCGAGTTGCCGTCAACTTTATGTTCCAATTGAACCCAAATTGGAATGCTTTCGAGAATATCGTGCCAACTGAATCATGAGGCGGCCTATGTGCAGCACATTCAGTTCAGTTATATCATAAACGAGGGATTCAGTTGTCTCTCGTGAAAACCAGATTGATTTGCAAATTAGTGTATTTCCGAAAACAGTCCAATTTGGGTTCAACTAGAACATAAAGTTGACGGAAACTCGGGAACTGCGCCTACCTGATGAGCCTCAATAAGGGCGAAACCGGTCGTGGGCTGTCGAAGTTTTTAGCAACCTTGTGAGTGGCTTCCTCTATGAAAATATACTGCGATATCTCGAATATTGTGCCAAGTGAATCACGAGGCGGTCTGTGTGCAGCACATTCAGTTGTAGAATATCCCAAACGATAGATTCAGTTCAGTCTCTCATGGAAACCAAATTGATTTGCAAATGAGTGTATTTCTCGAGAAAAGAGGCGTGTTGCTTTTAATGGGTCAAATTTCAACGAGCCAATATTTTCCTACTTCCGAAAGTTGGCACTCCGCTCGAGAACTGCACGATTTACTCGATAAGATCAACATGGAAAGAAAAAAGTTTTGACTGATCCCATCAGGAATCAATTCCACCATCCAAAGAAAGTCCAAGAACAAACTCGATCAACAGAGGGACAAACCTCCCACAGGTGGCTGACATAGCAATGAGTGGCATTTTGCTCGTTATTGCCGATTCGGGCGTCATGATTGTACCAGGCAATGTCATCAGCGTCACAAAGATTTTTATCTCAATCTCATACATTGAAGCTGAAGCAGCCACCACATCGCCATGCAGCTCATGGACGGTGGTCTAACTTGCTGAGTGTGACATTCAAAGTTATTTTCGTTTCCCTGGGGTCTTCATTGTCTTTGAACAAGACTACACTGTAGATGGACCGAGCACTTTCTCCAATCCCATTACGACACATTACCATGGGGTTCTTTTGATTTTGGCACTCAAAATTAGAAAGTCGTCACAGCTCTGCTCCCAGAGTTCCCAGTTTTCCGCGAGTTTGTTTAGCGGTGCTCAAACATTCCAAAGATGCAGCGGTTCGTCCGTCGTGTATGCGAGAAATCATCCACATATGAAAAAATGAGTAAACGAACGCTGATTGATTGTGAAGCATCCAGTCTCTTAGCGGTAGTGTTATCGTTAGTTGGTACAGTACATCAACTAGGAATAGACAACAGGAACGCACCAACTTGGCCTTATCTGAGAGGGCTGTAACCATTAAAATAGTTCCCCTGAAGGATCCTTCGGTGAAAGTGTACCCGTTCGCACAGTCTACTAGCGTTGGATGAAAACGATGGACCACGGATATCAGTTGCTCAAAAACACCAGCACTGCAAAAACCAACATACTTTCATTGATAGATGACGGGAACAGAACCCGCGTCGCTGTGATTCCTTAGTGCAGCCCTCACGACTACAAAGGCGACGCCATTGCTTTCCGTTGAATTTCTTGCGCACGCCATTCGGTGTCTTGACCACATCACCCTAGGTAAAGAAGAGAAGATAGTGAAAAAGCGGCTACAAGTGCGAGCTTCACCACTACGATCATGAGTGCAGACCGTTTAAATGTAGTCGGGTGATTTTATTAAGACTTCGACAGGAGTTTCATAACATCCCACCGGAAAGCCAACCGAAAATGGCCACAGTTTAGCAATATTTACCTTTTTAAACCGTTGATGGTGAACACCAAAAGTGTTCGGAAGGGATGTCGTTGCAGCCAAGAGATTCGCAGGACTCCATTTTGGACCAGTGGCGGTGAATCTTATCGAGGACGAAGTTCCGAGGCAAGGACCCAGAAGAGAAAGTGACAGAGCGCTGGCAGGACTGGCGGAATACGGCGTGGAATTCCGACCGAGCTGAGACAGCGGAGTGGGGTCAGAACCACGGACCGCTCCTAAAATAGTCAAGGGACCCGGTTCGGTTTCAGAAACCCCACCATTCTTTGCAACTGAGTATGTCGGTGGCGCTGAACTGGTAGAGAAGTTAGTGGTCAGTGTAGCAGATGAGATGGGCTTCGAGGAAGAGCGCTCAAAAGTGACAGAACGGTCCAAATCTTCGGGCGGCATATCCCCGGTAATAATGCTAGGCCCTGCATGGGAAGGCGCCGAAACGGAATCCAGCAAAGCAGGACTGTCCGCGTCTCGGATAGTCATCTCCAAATCTGGAACGAGAAGCAATAGGTACCTACATATACTAAGATAAAGAACAGCGTTATAATTCACGAAATGCTACCATCCTAATCCAAGAAAAAATATTTCGTGGGAGCATAGTTATTTTCGATGATTGCGAAAGGGTGCAATGAAGAATTTGTCTGGGTTACATGAGCAATGCGCACCCAACACCCACCGGACAGCAAGACGACTGCGTAATCGGTTGTGGCCGCAGACCGCATTTCAATACTGATAACTCCGAAACTGAATGGGTGGGGTAAGAAAACACTCTGACTCTTTCTAGAGGTACCACACTGCTCATGAGGTCGCTGGAAAGTCCCCAACAGCCTACAACCTGTTTCGTTCTTCTTTGGACTCCTCAAATAGGCGAAGTCCCCGAGTTTCCGAACAAACCTGGGGGCAACTCGGGAAATATATTCGTTTTTATACTAATTTGGTTTAAACGAGAGACTCAATGCAATCCAGCTCGATAGCTCCTTTATGAATGAGCCGCAACCTGGCTTCTCATTCCTAACTGTGTACAATTTGACTAAACTTGATTTCTCTCCATTGCAGTCTACAAGTGCAATAATGTTTCGGAAAAAGCAGCGCCTTGCGGCTTTTTGTTTTTCCCATGGAAATCTCAACTTTAATACATCCTTTCTTTGAATTTCACACATGCTAATTTCATTAAGTATTCATTGAGCAATTTGAACTGACATGGTTCCTGACACTGATTGCGTTGCTCTTCGAGATCTCTTACTCTTGTCTCTAGAGTCAGTTTCTCTCGTACTCATGCATCAAGGGTAATGATCAAGGTCAGTTGCAAGAATCATAAAAAATGTCAAATCTAGTTGATGAAGCCCAGGTCTAAACAGTGGTTTCCCCATCCCGCCATTAAAACTTCCGCAAACAGGCATGTTTGTGCCATTTGGTATGCGTATTGTTTCGTTTGATGTCACGCATAACTTTGAAGATAACATCTGCCGGCAAACTGGTGATTTGCGCTTGCCTTGCGTTAATCGATGTTTCCAATTCACGCGTGATCCAAAAGTCCCCTACGAGTCCCAGCAAGTTTGTCACTGCAACGGACTCGTTCAATTCCCAGGTCTCTGGCTGGAATGCTGATGAGCCATGTCAACACCAATTCAGCGCACCCAATCAAAAATGCATTAGAAACTATTGAACAAAGCAGTGCGTGAGTTGATGCCGACGAATAATCTAACTTCGATTCTGTCAGCCGTAGGATGAGGCTCACACCAACTGCGCAGGACGGTGGTAAGAGATGCAATGTACCAGGATACGAAAAAGGCACGTATGAAAATCGAGGAATTTCGGCAGACGTATTTGGTACCGATCGACTGGATCGCTGGTGGATAACGCAAAAAAACGAAATCGGCCATAATTGGCACTGCTATACCAAATCATTGGAAGGATGAAACAAATCACTACAGGCGTATTGATTCGGTGACACTGGCGGACTCGAAAACCCAGTAGATTCGCATGCATCCTATTTAGGCCAAGTGATACAACTTGCACCCGGAATGCAGTTGCCTGAGCTGGCTAGCCAACGTAGTCTCGACACAAGCATGAATGACGAGTGAGCTAGTCAGACTGACGTACAAATGCACACGGCCATTCAAGCTCGCAAACAATGGCAGAGTAAGGCGGGACAGTCTGCCGCTCGGTCTCGACAACCGTCTGTCTGAAAACGAGACCAGTGGATCACGTGAAGGAACGGCACTTGGGTAGGAAGAGAACTGGAACAAAGTGGCTAACTCCGATTGGTTCACCGTCCTTCCACCGTTTGTTCGTTTGTCTAGACCCAGTACTAACCGTGGCAACGGTCTTTGGTATATCAATCTAGCAATGTTAGGGCAAGCAACAAAAAGAATTCTAAAGGAGAGACATGCCAGAATATTGCTCCTGTTAAACGAACATTAAAATGGTACCCATCTAAGTGATTCATGCGTGCGCGACGAGATCAATAACCTGTGTATTCAGGTTATCATTTTTTAACGTGACCTAAGTTTAGAGAGTCAACTTCGGGAACCGAAGTATTTTCCTAGAAGGTTTCAAATTTCCTCAGCAAGCGATTTCAACGTTTAGCTGCGGGAATTCTTTGCAAAAAGCATGCAAGCTAAGGCTCAAAGACAAGTAGACAAAGTACCGTTCAAAAAGGTTGGAAGTTCAGAAAAAATATTGGAACGAAAAGTAGGAGACCGGAAGAGGCACGTACCATAAATTCGGATTTAATCGATCTTTATATTGTCGATGCACAGCATCAACAATGCTGAGTGTGGTGGAACGACTCAAAGTCAATCAACTCAAGGGTATTGCTTCAAGCTCACACATGTACTCACGTCATTCCCTACTCTGAATAAAGATGAAACTGCAGTAGCTTGCGCCAACATACCGTAGTGTAAGGCTTATGATTACAAATGTACTGAGTAAGATATAGCAGAACAACAGTTTGAAAACCTGTATATTTGACCAATTATCCTCCTTCTTTTATTCTCTAAACACCGGAGTGTGGTCGAGAATCCTCGAGCATCCAGCGACGACGTACCTAACATCCCAACCGGAAAGCTCTTAAAAGAAAGTGCTCGAGTTGAAGTTGAGGGCATGAACGAGAAGCGCACTCGTTCGGAAAACTTATGGACTATAACAGACAAGTAAAGGAACGTGATTGCACATTGGCACGCTACAAAACACGTAAAAAAGATGGAAAGACACTCGATTCCAGTTAAGCAATCTGTATTTTATTCTAGATTTATATCCCTGGGTATTCACGATCGATAAATTCCTCGTCACTGCCGAACGATGATACTTCCTAATATCCTTCTTTGTTCACCCACTTCGAGGTAGCATTATTGGATTACCCAAAACCAGCGTATAATGGCGTCCCAAAGCATTTCCTGAATTGTGAATCATCCAACGTTATGAATCACTGTCCCCGCGTTTCCAATGATACTGTGGACCTGAACCAAACAACTTACGGAGTATATTTGATATCCTCCTTCTTTTATTCTCTAAACACCGGAGTGTGGTCGAGAATCCTCGAGCATCCAGCGACGACGTACCTAACATCCCAACCGGAAAGCTCTTAAAAGAAAGTGCTCGAGTTGAAGTTGAGGGCATGAACGAGAAGCGCACTCGTTCGGAAAACTTATGGACTATAACAGACAAGTAAAGGAACGTGATTGCACATTGGCACGCTACAAAACACGTAAAAAAGATGGAAAGACACTCGATTCCAGTTAAGCAATCTGTATTTTATTCTAGATTTATATCCCTGGGTATTCACGATCGATAAATTCCTCGTCACTGCCGAACGATGATACTTCCTAATATCCTTCTTTGTTCACCCACTTCGAGGTAGCATTATTGGATTACCCAAAACCAGCGTATAATGGCGTCCCAAAGCATTTCCTGAATTGTGAATCATCCAACGTTATGAATCACTGTCCCCGCGTTTCCAATGATACTGTGGACCTGAACCAAACAACTTACGGAGCATCAGCAATTACGTACGGTGACGAAGAACTGTCAACGAGGCCGGAATTTCGCACACTTTTAGATGAAATAAAGATAATGTTGTCGTTCACCGTGCTAAGTCAACAAATATCAGCGGTAAAACCAAAAGCCTTACCCAGTGCTTTGTCGGGCTCCACTTGTACACACTCAGATGCTGGAGACTCATTCCGACTGTTGTATGTGGCACTCTTCAATTCGTCAGGAGGTCCCGATTCCCCGTGGGTTGTTTCAGATGGCAATTGAAGCTGAAATGTATGAAATCCGGAAGAAGCCAGCACAAAATATATTGTACTAATCAGACCAATTTCGAGGGGAGAGGGAGCGGAAAATATGTGCGTAACTGAGGCTAAAACTGCATGTCGTCTGATCGGTCATGGTAGGTATGAGGGAAGACCGTAGATGAATGAACGATATCACCTACATCCCCGTGAAAGTTACAGCTGTATATCCATAAGCCAATCTGCAGATACAAACCGACCATGAAATTGGCAGGTTGGAGAGATCACTTTAGTGCTCTAACTACCGATCTGCTAATGATTTTATGCTGGCTGTTACGGAGAGCACCATTATATTCTATGACAGAATCCCCAGTAAGGCATTGTCCACAAAACGGAAAGTGTGCTGAAAACATCTGTGAAATACATTATTAGGATATTTAGATCTTCTCTCGGCTGAAAGAAACCCATCGCTATATTAAAGAATAAGCTCTATCAAATTATGGATTCATTATGACGACAGTCATCTGGGGGATCTTTTGTTGACGTTGTAGAGGTGAACCATATAGTGGAGAGACAATAGTCCTTCACGTGAGGCAGTTTCTTCAGATGATATCAAAATGCTTCTTCTGGTTGATCACCTGCCTTATGCACCTGTGTTATCGTGTTGTTCTGAAGGTTGCTCGGCCTGTGCACTGCTTGTTGGGGGTCCATTGACATTGTTATTTGATTACGTATTCCACTGTGATTTGAAGTTTCGCTTGAAATTTATTTTAGCCCGATTAGAACGGCCAGCCTAGGCGCAACTCGGTACCGTTTGGGACCCCTCTGTGGGGGGATAACGACGAGGAAATGTTTCCAACACTGGCCAACCGATGTCATTAGCTATCAGTTTTTATGCATACTGTCTGAGTGAACCAGCGGTATCTTGACGTTCGTGTATGAATCTCGGGCGTTTGTAATGGGCTAGCTCATGGAACTCTTCCCTTTTCACTTTTTCATTTGTCCAATTATGAGGCTTCTTCTAAGCAAACTGATATGGCTGTACGGCAGTGAATAATCAGCATTGCTGTCAATGGCGATGATGATGACGTGGAGCAATAACTGTAACATGTGGTGTAGGCGACGCACTACCGTGTTAGAAAATTATCGCCTAGTATGCAGAGCCGACAATTAATGATACCAGACAAAGATTCAGTGTTGCAACACACATTGGTTGTCCGAATTCCATTCGGTATTACAAAAGGAGTCTCACAGTGATGATTATGATCACTGAAAGCCAGTTCTCTCTACCTATAGTTCTTGGGCGAGATGGCTCAAGTGTTTAGAGCGCGAATTTACTGACCGGAAGGTCCGTGGTTCGAACCCGACCTCCGCCACTCGACTTCCTCTGTCTAGGCTTGGGCAACCTGACAGTATCCCAGCCCTCGTGCTTCCTTCGGGTGGCATGGCAGCTAGGCACCGAAAGGGCGCTACAGCTGAACGATTATTATTTATTATTATTATTACCTATAGTTCTTGCATTTGTATTTCAGACTATATGGACCAGCCAGAATGACTTATCTTCCAATAATTGAATGACAGCTGGTTTCACTCATATTAAGGTTAAGTGTTACAACTTCGATGCGTCAGTTATCTGGTTATACTCAGTCCTCGTTACGTCCTCACCATACCAATGAAGCTAAGTAAGGTCAAGAAATGAGTGGTGCGCAGAGATTGGTGGTCGTGCTGATAGCGGTAGGCAGCAGACTGAATTAAGACATGGTGCTTTCTTCACCTTCGTGTGGTCGGAATTCGGGGAAGAATGAAGTTTATGTTTATTGGCATTAAGTGTTACGACTTCGATGCGTCAGTTATCTAGTTATACTCAGTCCTCGTTACGTCCTCGCCATACCAATGAAGCTAGTTAAGGTCAAGAAATGAGTGGTGTCGCAGGGATTGGTGGTCGTGCTGATAGCGGTAGGCAGCGTACAAACCAAAGCACATTGAGAGACTCACATCATCCAACTCATCTTGCCAGGGGGCCACAAGAAGGCGTAAATGTGTACGAGTAAGAAAGAGTGTGGGCGATGGTACGTTTGAATCACAATCAACAGGATACAGTCTCTGATGGTTTAATGGAACACGATTCTTGAAATTTAGCCGACCGGTTGCATAACGCCGTCCATCAGTTGCTGTGTCTCGGTAGCACACACGAATTCCACTAAAAAAATCTGATGAAGACATTTGGATTGACGCTTACTCTATCAGCTGGTTGGCGTGAGGTATGGCATCGTCTATGATCTTTGGTTCAGAGGCGGAGGAAGAAGAGATTTCCACCAAGATAGTGTTCGAATCACTGTGGTCTAGACGAACCACAAGTTCACCGGTGGTTTTCTCAACATTCAAGATGATGCCTGGTTGATAAAATCCTGTTGGAACAGATAAGTGTGCAAGTAAGGAGAGACAAACCGGATGCAGTCTGCACTAGGACGTGATGATCCATCCAGGGGCTCAAATCCAGCACGCAAGACCTTCGAGAAACGACCGTTGAAATCGCAGCCTGAAAATATAAAATTAGCCTGAAAACACCTACCGGTTCTGCCAAAGCATTAGCGGATGTAGCATGTGGACCCTGATTGAGTTGACTATTTAAATTATGTCGTTCTTCCAGAGACTCCATGACGACCTGGACAAGTTGAGGATGGTATCGTGAAATTTTAGTCATCATCATCATCATCGACAGTATAACATCAGCGTTCAACATTCATTCTTTGTTACCCTACAGCTATGAATTACTCGAAGGCCTTATTGTGAAGAGAACAATAAGAGTGGATGGGGAACGGACTTGGTGCTAGTCCACAATCAATCCGAGGTGTCTACACCCCTGAAAACACTCACCCATGCGATCCCAAAGAAAAGAAAGAAATCGTTCAGCTGTAGCACCCTTTTGGTGCCTAACTGTCATGTCACCCGAAGGCTGTACGAAAGCTGGGATACTGCCAGGTTGCCCAGCCTAGAGAGGGGAAGTCCAGAGGCAGAGATCGGGTTCGAACCACAGACCTTCCGGTCAGGAAATTCGCGCTCTACTCATTCGGGCCATCTCGCCATCTCGATTCCAAAGAGAAGCTGATAAAAACAACGGGATAGAGATAGCTCAGTGGTCAAAACATCAGCTTACGGACCGGAAGGTCCATGGTTCGAACCCAACCTCAACATCCCGACTGCCCCTGGCTAGGCTTGGGCAACCTGGCAGTATCCCAGACCTTATGTCTCCTTCCGTTGACATGGTAGCTAGACACCGAAAGGGTGCTACAGTTGAACCATCGGAGTTTATTTGATTTAACAAGAAAGCCACTGATTTGAATGGCAACTATATCTTTCAGCGTCACCAACCCGGCGAAGTGGAGTTCATGCGGTCCCCATCCCGGAAAATGAGTCATACCGATAGCACCGACTTTTCGTTTTTCATACCCCTATGTCAAGTCAAAGACTGACTACCCCTCTGCTTATACTCTGGAATGGGTGCGGAGAACAGCACTCTCAGTGGCAATACATGGCCTAACCACTGCAGCTTCTGATGCTGGACACACTCTTCAATGCACAACCGAACACTCGCTTTCCAACAGTCTCGTTGCGGATTCGCGACCCCGACCTAAAGCTGCCACCTTAACGTGCGTGGTGGGCTTCAGTGCTGCAATGATCCCGCGGGCTACACTGGCTGGAACTTCGTTCCACAAGGTTCAACCATGCCAGGAAGGCCAAAGGGGAGCAGCCAGACCAAGAGCAGCGAGACCCCGTACTACGAGTAATCGTGCTACGAGGCGGCCTGGAGGTAAAGTC